CCCCTACCAAGTATTGAGTACATGTACAGTAAATGAACATACTTTCCAGAAGGCCAACAATTCACTAAAAAATGTTTTTTTTATTGGTCTTATGAAGTATTCTAATTTGTTGAGATAGTGAATTGGTGGGTTTTTGCTAAATGTGAGCCAAAATCATCACAATTAAAAGAACCAAAGACTTAAACTACTTCAGTCTGTGTGCATTGAATTTATTTAATACACGAGTTTCACAATTTGAGTTGAATTACTGAAATGAACTTTTCCACAACATTCTAATTTATTGAGATGCACCTGTATATGAACAGCAGCAGTATTTCAGACATGCTCACAACCAATGTTTTTCAATTACATGAGATAATAATTGATTCCGACCTATGTTACAATGTCCGTTTTGTGTTCTAGTTAATCAGTGACAGGATGCCCATCCTCAAGAGGCTGCCCAGGAGGATCAAAAGTAACCACAGCAATGGTGACCTCCAAAAGAGTAATCTTACTAATGGTGAACTCATCCTAAAGAGTAACCACAGCAACGGGGAACTCATTCTACCACCATCCGATCTGAATCCATTTGAGGGGGCGTGGGCAGGCATGGGGTGGAATAATGAAGAAGGTAGGGTCTGGGAGAATGGACAAGACTACCAGAGATCATCTCAGGTGAGCGAAGCACTGGAGAATGAGGCAAACGCAGAGCAGCGTGGAGGGTCAAAGGTCACTGAGGGATCTAAAGAAAAGAGAGGAACTCTGGAACGAATCTGTGGCTCGTCACCACTGAAGACCCTTGGCAAATTAGGCAAGGGCCTGCGTATGACCGGAAGAAACGTGTGGGGCGCCACTCCTTCACTACGGAGTGCCACTCTACCGGCAGCACCCGCCTCAGGAAAGAAAAAAAAGAACTATCGACGAGCCTCAGAGGAGATCATGACTTTACTGAGGTGAGAATGGTAATATGCATATTATGTAGCAGTGGTTATGCTTCCAAATTTTTTCCCATACTAAAATAAAACACAAATATGATTAAAACCAAACACTGGAATGTATCAGTATAATCATGAATTCTTTAGGCAAAATAATATACAAATAGTAAGGTTTTCTCAATTAAAATCACCATTCATCGCCAGAGAAAAGACTGTTGTTGACTAATGTCACTGGAAGACCCAGCTGTGACAGTTTGATTAAAAATGAATAAGCTGGATGGATGAATCATTCACAATAAGATCAATAACATGCATTCAATGCATTGGAACAAACCATGTTAACCACATCCCTTGACAATACTGTAGCACCAACTTGTCTATAAAGCATATATTTTTGATCTGTCCAATTTATAATGTTATGAGAGTGATTTTTAAGGACGTATTTATGGACCCAGAAAAACGTTTACAATTTTTATTACAAGGATATTTAAAGAATCTTTTTTTTTTAATTGTGCTTAATTTAGTCTTTATTACAGTTGAATTTTATAAAATGTTTGTTTTTATTATTTTATCTTTAGTGTATTAATGATATTATAGTGTGGAATGTTTCATTTGTATCTGCTGTGTAATAGCCAATGAAGCTGATATGGCAGCAACCATCCATAGCCCTTGACATCAACAACAAAAGAAATGTGATGCATTTCTTCCCACTGTTAAATGCCACCATTTATTGCATTTATTTTGCCATCCTAATTGTGCATGATTGTAAATATGGAATATTATTAGTTATGTGGCATTGTTTGCATTTTGCATTTTTTGCTTTTTTCAGACCAGACCTGAAACCAACCAATTGAGAATCAGTGTTGCAGAGATCATTATTTCTGAGACTAGTTATTTTCTGCAGTTGTTGTGAAGGTATTCGAAAGGACATTTTCCTTAATGCATCTTCTCTCCTCAGGTTGGCAGGCCGTCGTAAGGAGTGTGAGCGCAGAGATAGTCTACCTACAGGTGATCTGACCACTGAAAATGAAGAAGACAGTCGCAGACATCCCTCATTCCTACGAATGGTCAGTCTGAGCAAACTCAGAGGGGACTCGCTAACAAACCGCAGTTCGCAGGAAGACGATGAAGAGTCAGTAGAAGAAGAACCACCGGTCAAACGCAGGGAGCCACTATCAGGTACAACCGTGTTTTTGCTTTTATTACATCTGTACTTGTTTTTACCTTTTATGGCATGTATAAAGTGTTACTGTTCACAGTCAGGGGTCTCCATATTTGACCCATAACACCTTGCTCTTAATGAGCAGTATCAGGGTCCAAAAGTCCCTGTGAGTCACTGGCCAATCAAGAAACACTTTCACAGAGACAGGAAATTATACACTTTCTTTGTGCAGCAGATCCTACCCGATAAGCTCAGCGCAAGGAGAGAAAAATCGGAACCGTGTCAATGTATATCCTGTTCCAAAGACAACAACACATCAAGTGATTAAACACATGGCTGTAAATGATAAGTAAAACTACTCAATCTCTCACTTTCTCTCACAGTGTTGGAGATCTTACAGTTAGTTAATCAGAGAGACCTACTGCTTGCCGACACGCACATCCAGGAGCTTGAGAGGGAGTGTGAACTTGACCCCTCCTTCTTGACACAAACCACACCCACTTCAACCACACCCAGTAACATAACTCCTCCCACACTCATGTCGTCTCCCTGGCTCCCCCTGTTGGTTGGTTCAAGTAGTAAGGATTCTGGCCCAAGCATGTGGGATGCTGGGCTGCGCAAAGTGAAAGATGTTGAGCTGCTTTACGAGGCTCTTCAGAGAGAGATGTGGGATGTGGTGAGGGAGTCGCTACGTCAACCCTGCAGCGGGCCTCAGCTTGGCCTAGTGGTGCTGGTCATTCAACAGGAAGAGCAGGCTGACAAGGTCTGGGCCCTGCGGCAAGAGGCCCAGTCCAACGTCCAAACTGGTGACCAATCCGAAGACCATTCCCGGCCTTCCAAGCGTCCCAGGAGACTGCGTCAAAGGTGGGTGGAGGCTGTGGGAGAGGCAGCTGACTGGTGTCTTCCACAACCAGGGGGCATCGCTGCAGGACAGATGGGCATGTATTTGGAGCGATTGAGGGCCAGAGTGGTGGAGGATATGGATGCGGCACGTCGGAATGTGGTGGCGGTTTATCCCGAGGAGTTTGGTGTGTTTCAGGTCTACATGCAGAGTTATCACAGGGCTGTTGCCAAACGACTGAAGACCATCACTAGTGGACCCATTCAGATCACAGACACATACTCACTGCTGGACTGGATCTACAACATTTACAACAGGTATTTTTGCACAGATACACATAGACGTTGAGGTGTGTTTTCTATTTTTACACACACCTTTCCTGCAATCACATTCCACTTGGTTTAATGACCCAGTGGAAGAATGAGCTCAGGTCTATTAATATCAGATGCATTGTTTATTAGAATGAACAACAACGGTACTGAA